ATAATTATCCTGAGGAAATCACCTAAAGGATATCAAGCTGAATAAAGCTGCAAATCCCCCCAACCAGTATAGTACGTCTCTCAGTAATGGTACCTCTAAACCTTGCCAAGATAAAGAGAAACAATTCCTCTACGTTTGCAGGATGGATTCTAATCTCTTTTTCCACTAACTGAAATAAAATCCAACAGGGTAAGAAAGTAGCAAGTGTATATATCCTTGTGAGCAAATTTGTAGCAAGAAACAGTAGAGAAGGTCCATTAACTGTGTGATCATCCACTAGTCTAAATACGATAGCTAGATAGATACAGTGTGATAGATATCGTAACAATATTGTACGCCCGTCACTGAGGGATTGAGGAATGGGGGAAAAAGGCAACTATATTCTAGTCAGTAATGCTGGAGAAAGCTATCACATAGTAAGCTTGACTGTGTCTGGTAGGAAAAGTAGCCCCGTCGCCCATATCCTCCCCACCCCTTCTAGTGAATCGTATTAGAATTCTATCTAGCTAATCATCAGGAGAGACTAAACTAGTCGGCGTCCAGGTACAAAAATATCCTGCCTGCTGCCTTAAGGGGTTAAACCTTACCATATCCAGATTAGTAAATCATGCTTACATAACCTCTTAAGTTTCTTTGCAAATAACCTAATACCTAAAGTGGTTGTCAACTCCCAACTATTCAATTTTAGTGAACAAATGAAAGTGGCTTATTCCCAAAACAGTGATTTACTGAAAACTGAATTGTTAACTTTAGGCCGAAATAAATGATTGACACTATTTTATTTGTACCTGAAAAGCTTCAGGATAAAAGATGGACAGCAGGAAACAAAAAAATGTTGATATATAAGGCACAGTATGTAGTGTTCGTTGTGTACCTTTTTCTGTGTATTCTGAAATAATGGTACATTTTTAAATTCTGCCAACAGTTTTTCTTCAATGCTCCTCAAATTTTGTTTAGGAAAGTGTTTCAATCAACCAGCTTAGCAAACCAATAAAATAAAGTATTTTTTTTTTTAAATGAATTGAAGAGGAACTTGCTCTTTTTTTGCACCACGTAAATCGATAGCTGCTAACACTTGACACAGTTGTTTAGCTTATCAATCTTTAGTACTCTTACAAATATAAGTGCTATCTGAAGTGTGTCACTTACACACAGTCTGTATGTTTACCTCTTGGATCAAGTAAATAAATACAGCTTTCTATCATACAGAAACTTATTTCTTTATCTTTTTTAAGTGTTACTGCGTAGTAAAATATAAATTGGCTTGACAAGTTGGCGTTGAGACAGAAATGCCATTTACATGTGGAATCTCACAGAGAATAGCCTTTCACTGACTGAATGCACTAATGATGCCTCATAATACTTTCACATCCAAAAATAGAAGATGCTCACATAGGCATGATACGTCTCTTGTCACTGCTGGATCGTAGCCCTGCTTAAAAAGCTAGACCAAAATGTTTTTGAAGAGAAAAGTTGTGCACAGTCTGCAGGAGAGCCAAGAACACAGACATATGGAATTTTGCTGATGGTTAAACTTATATATTATTAACCTATAGCATGGAGGTATGCCAGATCATGATTTTAGATGGTAATACTCATGAAAAAATGTTTACTTCAGGTTGTTCAAGTTGTGCATTAGCTTGTCACATCCGTAAGTTTAGTGTTGATTTGGCAACGATAATAAATCGATAAAAAAATTACAATGAATAACCTAATTTACATAATTGCCTATTATCTCTTGCTTTCTAAGCAACATATTATGTAGGGCTTACAGTATTAGGCTGTTGTATAAAAAAAAATAAAAGCTTTTATGTACCCTACAAGTCATATTTTATTAGTCATAGTTAGAACTTATGTGGATTTTAGATTAATGCTATTATCACTTTAACCTTTAAATCAACACGTTGTAAGGTGTTTGCATTTTTTGTAAAGCACTTCCATGTGACATGTCTGAAGTCCTTAAACACATTACCATGCAAACATTGTGTGAAGCAAGGCTTGCCCTTCAGCGCATTGTGATAGGTTGGCTTGGATCCCTACTAATCACAATGCTCTGATGGCACACACAAGATAGCAGAGGCATATAGAAAGGTATCTGATGGACTGAATAATTATTCTGCTAATAGCCTTCTGGCGAGTCAGATGGGATTATAAAGATGAAGGTTGTTTATTTTTTGTTTTATTTAAATTTTTTTGCAGTGCAGTCTTTTTCTGGTGTACTGTCCTTTTTGTGACTCAGTTTTTTATTTTAATGTAGTTATTACAGTTTTTATAGCAAGTTTTACAACCAAAAATTGAAGATCTTTAAACAACATATAGAAAGGTAAACAATAACAGTTTTTACAAAATATCTTAATTATTTTAGAACATTTGACCTCCCTCTTCACTAAAACTCATTTGTGTGACGGAATGTAGCTAAGTGGGTGTATTCATATCCACTGTGATGAGAGGTTAACCATTTCAATCTAGGGCATCCCCTGACACTGGCTGAGCTGAGTTGCACTCAGAAACAAGTTTGGAGATTTAGTAGGAAATACAACAGTTCTGCCTTCAGTGGGGCAGTCCTTACCTTGGGGCCCTGTCCCACCGTTCTGCTTTAGAACTGTCTCCTGGAAGCACAGTGCTAATGCATAATGAGATGTGCATGTGCTGTGGAGTGAGCACTAGGACAACATGGCTCCCAGTCAGGCTTTCAGTGGGATATACCCCTTTTTTAGGTGTTGCTTATGAAGGAGACTATGCCATTGGCAAACCCTCCTCCCCCTCAGGGGTTCACCCATTGCATCCTAATTCTGTGTGTCAATATGTTTAATTAAGTTAAATAGCGTTATGAAAAACTCAGGTTAGTTGTTATGTATTGTTAGTTGTTATTATGAGACAAACTGACTTTTAATCACTTCATTGTTCTTAGTTGTTTTCTTACATTAACAAGCACTGTCACAGTTGTAAAGTTCCCGTAGATGGTCCCTGTTTTTTGACACAATATTTAATCCATCTGGCTACTTTATCCAAAAGGAAAAAAATGAAGCAACAATTGACATATGTGGTGCTTAATAATGCTTTTAGCTTGGTATTCTGCAGTATTAAAGCAACACTCTATATCCTGGGCAACATATTTGAAAAATATACTATTATCCATCTTTCGTGATCTCTAGTCTGTAATTCTGATCTTATATAACAGGAATAGAATCAGTTAAAGCCTTATGGTGTTGTATTCCATATGCTTTAAGGTGCATCACATGTTGTATATCCATATATGGCCTTATATACACCACTATTTTAATATGATTATTTGAGTATATGTAGCTCCTTTCTAATCTCAGATAAGACTGGCCATTATCCTTGGACCTTTCTTATTAAAAAAAGGTTTTTTTGACCACATAATGGTTTCTTGGTGAATTGTATTGACTGTGTCACCCGTTCTCTCCAAAATGTGTTGAGAGAATATAATTCATGAAAATTGTAGCTTGCTTCCCAAATACTGGCACCACCAAATCTGGAAACAACATTCTATGTCCAGGTTCTTGTTTGAACAATAACTTAACTACACTTGTTTTGCTATTTCCTGATAAAATTAGGGAAATGTGGATGTGATTATGTTTGCAACAAAACATGCTGCTTTATTTATTAAATTAATTCACTTATTTAGAAATTCATTTTTCAGAAGTCAACTACCATGTAACTTTTTAAAGGTTTTCCTAAAAAGAAAGACCTGATATAAGTCTTGCAATTATTCATCATAGTTTCATGTGTAACTTGATTAATTTTTGAAGTGATAAATCTTTATTAAAAAATCAGCAAGATCATACATTACACAACTTCCATTCTTCACTTTACCCACACTACATTTCTAGGTTTCTTTAAGCTTAGAGTTATATGTCAATAATGATATGAAAATCAATTCATACACCTTTTTAAGTACCTTGACTTTAACAGCATTCTGCAGTTCAATAACTGTTATTTTAATAAATTGCCTATAATAAATTGCACTTTTAGTTCCATCAAATTAGACATAATTGAAGAACTCTAACCAATTATGATAGTTGGTCATTAATCCTTGGAGATATCCATTGTTTGTATTTTTTTATCTAGTCATTATAACTCATTTAAAATAAATGTGTATGAGCATTTAATTTGATAGTTTAAACACATTATTCCCTTAAAACTACTTATGCACGCACTTTTATAGAGGTATTAAGAAAGTCCTAGAAAGCAGTCAATGGCCATATTCACAAAACATTCCAGGACATATACCTTAAACTGTAAGGAATAGGAGCGTGTTATGAATACCATCTATTTTATATGCCATATTTAGTTTAATAATTTAACATATATTTAAAACTCTGTATGGATAGCTAGTACAAGATGTGTTTTTTAAATAAATATGTTCAATGGTTATGACATGCAGTACAACCATAGTGGTAACTGATTCCTTACAACCGAAAAATACAGGAATACTTACAAACTAAAATATATTCATTCTTTAAGATATCAAAAATTGTGGAAATCATGAGTACAAATTTTCTCTAAAATGAATAATTCCCGTGAAACAAGTAACATTGGATGAATGGCTAACTTTCAAATTAAGCCAGTATAAAGGGTGAATACCAAATAAGGAAATTAGATTATCAATTTGTGATATTTAATGTCTTTATCAAAGATCAGATATAAGCAGGATCATGCTGCTGGAAGCAATAGGGGGGAACCTTGCAAATATGGAGCTAGAAAACATATTTACTAACCTAAGATCCAGGGGATGAAGGTGGTATTTAGATAAAATTCCACTAGTGGACATGGCACATGTAGAAGACACCCGAGCATGTCAAATTAAAGTGGCATGGGATGTTTTTTTTTATATAATTCTTTATTTTTGTTGTGCGTAAGCTTATAACAGTCGCTCTGAAGGTACCCCAAAGGTAATCCTCCGGCGGATTAAAACAGTCAAACATAGAGGTACATAATAAAACAAGCACATTTTTTTTTGTAAAGTTATACACAATCTGGTTTTACATTACGTAGGTATTGTTAGGATATGACAGAACGTAGTTAGAAAGTTGGCGATCAAATTTAATAACTTGCTAATGTTTCTCAGGCTTGGACATTTCTATAGTTAGTTACAAGTTAAACTGGCTTAAACATGTGTGGTTGTAGTTCGCTATAACAGGTAATATAAAAAGTGTTTCAGTCGTTCTCACAAGCATCGCAACGGATTATATCTCAGTAGGACAAACAGAGAGCGTGTTTACTCTACTCTGTTCTTTATAGGCACTATGTTTGGTTACACATATGTACATAGCAGTATTTTAGGCATTCTCGCTAACATTACGTCTGATGATCTCTTAGTCTATCGGGCCTGGGGGGTGTTAGTATGCGGTCGGTTGGCCGCTCTACGGGAGTGTGCGCACGCTGCCGTGTCTAGGGTGAAGCCTAGTGTGTGAGAACAATGAAAAGCAGAAGAATACAATTATACAAAATTATAACCATAAGTAAAAATAAAACATGTATAGGCTAGTGGTAGCTCAGGGTAACTGTGTGTGGGATGCACCGTAACATAAGTAAGAGTTCAAGTGGTGAGTGTTGCGGCTCCGGTCGATGGGGGCTTCCGTGGGACGAACACAGTCACTTTCTCCGGGTCCCAGCGCTGGGGTGCGGGATTGGGTCTCTGCAATCCAGCTGGCGGTAGCAGGTCCTGTGTGAGTCCCAGTGTGTGCAACAGGGTCTGTGCCTCAGTGATGTCGCGGACTGCGTGCTGGGTTTCTCCGTGTCGGATCATCAGAGTTCGTGACAGCCTCCATTGATACTGTATGTTCTTCTGCCTAAGTAGGGTGGTGAGCGGTTGGAGGGATCTCCGCCACGCCAGAGTGCCTCCCGAGAGGTCTGGGTAAAAGGTGAGTTGCATTCCTTCAAAGGTGTAAGAGTCACGGTTTTTGAGGGCCATGAGCATTGTTGCCTTGTCCTTGCCATTGCGAAACCGGACAATTAGATCCGGGATGTTTTTTTTTAAATTGATATGTACCACGTTTTTAAAATGTTCTGTAGAGAATTGTGCTGCAGTATCTTTTCCTTTTGAAAGGTGAGTTAATCTGTTTATCACATTCTTTCTGACTGCAAAATAACTTCAAGTGTCAAGAAACTTTGTGTTGTGGACACCTGTGGAATCCTCTTCCAACAGCTTGACATCTCCTGGATGGCTTGAGTTCCTTCATGTAACCTTTGTAGCAAGGGTTGAAATTGTTCTCATAAGCAGAAACAGTATGCTTGCAGCCAAGAAATGTCCTAGCTCCCCTTTGTTTACTCTTCTGACAATAAAGATCAGGCAATCTTGAACTTCTGTGTTTGTAAAAGAAAATCTCCAATATCATGGGGTTCTTTACCTTGTGATGCCTTATGCTTTCTAATTTGTATGTGTAAACAATAGAAAACAGTAATAGAACTGGCCTATGGATACATGTTAAGAAGCCACAGACAAGTGTATTTGGTTAGGAATGAATTACAATCTGTTCACATTTTGAGAAAACAGTGGGTTGTCTGAATTCTCTAACTCTGAAGCGCCATATTCATGTATCACAAAAAAAGTATCTATTTTTTTGGCTCCATCCATGGATCCAAAAAAAGAGATAATTGATGGTTTGGGTACAGACACTTAATCAAATTAAAAATAATAATAATAATAATAAATCAAACAAATAACTAAATAATAAAGAAATAAACCATGAATCATCAAAGCTGAAAGTTTTAAAAAAACAACAAAATGCTTAAAAGTTACTGAACTGCAAATGTGGATCAAATTTTAATGGTAAAATACCATTCTATTTGGTAGAAATTAGGTTGACCAGACAAAATGATCTTTATGTATTTTGCAGTTCAGTGACAAACTAATTTTGTGCACCCTTTTAGTTTCCCTGAATACTTATGCTGAATCATTTACATGGACGATAGTTTGACAAGCTGAACTATTGTGTAATTGCAATTTTGACGATGGCATTACATTTTTTTTTTGGCTAAACCTAATTTTTTCAGCATTATTAAAAACTCGGATCAAGAGTAAAAGTATAGATCACTCTATACAATGAGAAATCATTGTTGAACTGGTAATGGGGAAAGTGTGTTGTAGTGTGCCTGTAAGGTGTAATTTGACGGTCTTGGAGTCATGGGTTTCAAATGTTTTGAAAACGTTTAGGGGAATCGTACCACGCATGTGAGTTTTGCAATCTCAACCACGTCCCTTGCCTTACACAGCGCCATATCAAATGTGGGAATTATGGTGACACCCCAAAAACAATGAAGGCTCCAAGGTTTTGGTGGTGGTCAAACAAGACTTCATCTTGTCAAGTTTCAAAGTTGTTCAAGACACATACTACAAACATTCCATATTTATTAGCATTGTGGAATAAACAAAGGATAAACATTATGTGTCCCCCTTTACATTAAGTCCCAACCCTGACATCGGATTTATCCCAAGGATGTATCTCTTGAAACAGCATTGCAACTGGACACTTGGAACCAGTTATATGGGAGCTATCCTTCAACTATAATTTGAAAAAACTCCCTGATATGAGAAGAGATTTATTAGTAAATGCCAATGATACTATAAATCACTGGTAAGACCACAACTTGAATATTCTGTGCAATTTTGGACACCTGTTCTAAAGAATTATATTATAGTACTAGAAAAAGTACAGAAGAAGGTTACAAAATTAATAAAAGGAATGGAACATTTTAGTTTTGAAGAAAGGTTAACAAGTATAAACCTTTTTAGTTTAGAAAATGGCAACTCAGAGAGGCTATGCTAACAGTAATAGCTTCTTGTTTCAGGGATAAATCTGACTGCCATCCTGCGGTCAAGAAGGATTTTTTTTCTAGTTTGTTGCAAAATTGGAAGTGCTTCAAACTGGGCTTTTGCCTCCTTTTGATCAACAGCAAAAAACAAATATGAGAAAGGTTGAACTTAATGGACACATGTCTCTTTTCAGCTTTTGTAACTATATAACTATCATGCTAGGTTTTATGTTTCATACAAAATCTACAAGAGAATCAAAGTGCATTTGATCAATGTGATTGAAGAAAATAGTAATCTGTAATATATCTAGATGGTAGTGAAGGAAGGGTATTCCCAATCTAAAAATGGTTGATTGTTTAATGTATGTTGATGAGATTATTATATGAATGATCATTGTTTCAACTCCTCTTTAAGGAGAAATAATCAGGATAAATAATATATATATATAAATAATATAAGTATATTACCTACAACCACTAGGAAAGAACTAGTTTAAATAATAAACAATATTATGCATTGTATCAATACTGCCATTCAAATACGAGGGGTATAGATATAATGTCACAGGAAAGATCTGTCTAGATATAAATTATCAGATAATTACAAGCTAAAGTTGAACGGACAGGTGAAAATTTATCAAAGAACACTAGGTTCATAATTTGTGAATCAATTACCCTAGAAATTTTTACAACAGAAAATAAAACTTGAAACTCCAGACTAGGAATTCCTGGTAAAGAGAGTAATCTGCTGAACAAGTACCAGCCATACATAAACAAACACCGGTCGCATGAGGGAGAGGCTCCTGCGGAAATATGTCCTTCTCGACCGAAAATCTGGGCTTACAGCCTATATCAGAGCCGGAGGGAAACAGCAAGGTGCCGGAGCTGAAGCTGGCGCAACAGCAGGCTCCGAGATCGTGAGTTTTAAGGCCCCACCGGTCCTACAAGGATTTGGAGCTTGCGGCCTCCACGTGAGAGAGGCGGGATGGACGGCCACCACCCTGCCTACTTGCCTAGCAGGCCGCCACACGACAGCTCTGGGGCACACCTCACAGGCCCCTTCCCCCCCCCTCTGGACCGGGGGGGATATCCCGGTCCCCAATGGGGGGCAACAAAGCAATCACCGCCAAAACCTGCAGAGCGCTCTCCGAGGCCAAGGACCTAAAATGGCCACCACACTGCCTCTCGGCTCTCTGAGCAGCACTTCACCTCCTAAAGGGGACTGGAGCTCCAGCGAACAGGCAACCAGCAACGGGGTACACCTGCCCAACCCTCAACCAAGACAACATGGCATCCCAACAGGGTAGGGCTACACAGTCCCCAGCTACCCACCTGCCGCAACACGTCCAGAACAGGAGAGACAAGTGCGGGCACCAGCCGTGAGGCGAGACAGGAGAGCACGACATGACCAGCACCGGGCACAGATGATCGGCTCACTGACACATTACACCCTGCGTTGTCACATGAGCCCAACAGACACACTCTAACCCAGGAAAGCAGGCATACCTCTCAGCCCACTGTCTCCAGCAGCCCGACGGAGCAGGACAAGGGGAACGGAGCGACCTACGTGCAGGGACCCAGTGGACACAAACAGTTTGCAGATTTGTGACTCTCACGTTTATTATGCATTTTTACTGCTCTAACACACATAGTTTGCCATATGCTTTGCTTTACTTGTTTTTATGCTACATTCTAATTCTCTTGCAAATACTATGTGAAGAGGATGTAGGCAAATGTAATAAGCAACTGTTATAAGCAAATGTTAAGAATTCAGATGTTATATGCAAATATAGGATCTCCATCTACTTAAGTGACTACAGCGATGACTCAGCTAGCATGTACCTAGTCCTGTGGATCTAACTACCTACTATAGCCAATCTAGCAACGTCAAGCATAAATTGTTATACACTTGTTTCATTTCATTTAACTCTGTTAGTTAAGCTAGACGCACTCGGTTAGTTAAGCTAGAATTTGTATTTTTTTTAAAACTGTGCGATTTTTCGTGCCACTGCTAAACATGTATTAATCCTGCAATACGCTGTTTGGCGTCTGTTGAAACCTTGTACCCACCCGCACAACAAAAATAAAGAATAAAAAAAATAAATAAATTAAACAAACACTGGTGTACTATGTGCAAACATCTTCTAAACAGATGAAGGTAAACATCTTCAAACCTGCCCTTAGAAAAGGAAAATTAGGATAAAATGAGCATGATTTAGGTAGGAGGCATCTCTATCAGCTATGCCAGCTCAGCTGGATTAACATCAGAAGACCATTGTATCATCAGAGAGACATAGATCATGAGACCTCAACACAAATTAGGATAAAAAGAGGCAAGATTTAGCTAGGAGGCATCTCTATAATATAGGCCAGTTCAGCTGGATTTACATCAGAAGACCATTGTATCATCAGAGAGACAGAGATCATGAAGATCATGAGAGAGAAGAGAAGGCCCGGGCGTATATAAGAGGCAAGGCTAAAGTTGAGTGTGTGGTTGGCATACTGAGAATGAAAAATTCCTGTAGACGAAGCGTGGGAAGCAAAGATAGGGAGAAATGGAAGATGGCATATCTTTATATATATATATATATTTTTTTTGCAGCCTTGCATTCCTACTAAAAATGACAAATACCTAGTGCTTCATTAACACAATATATAAAGTAGAAAAATATCAGCCAGCACTCTAGCATTCAAAAAAAGTTACTTCTTTATTCAAGAAAATATCAACATTTCAGTTCATAGTGTTATTATTATTGCCATTTGTATAGCGCCAACAGATTCCGTATGAACTTTCATTGGGGCAATATAAAATCATGTAATGAATAGAGACACACGGCGTCAGTGGGAAGGTCTCCTCTTCATGAGTAACGAGGGGCACGTCCCCCAGAAGCTTCCGCAGGCATCTTAGAGACCAATAGGAGTATGTTATTATGGTCTCCAGAGTAATGCAGAGTGGCCATAATCAGCCAGAGAGGACCAGGGACATGCTGATGAAGGGGATGTATCCTATCAGCAGTTCACACAGTAAAATCTTTCAGCTCATAGCATCAACTTTCACACATGCGCTCAGTGAACCGGGACATGCCATCCAAATTGATCTATTGAATTGATCTATTGAATCAGCTGCAGGGGTAAGTGATCATTATCTGTCATATATAATGTTTGCTATTCATTATATGATTTTATTTTGTCCCGATGAAAGTTGGTA